CCTTCTCTCCACTTGTGGGGGCCGATTCCGAGCTGCCCGCTCGCGAGGAGAAGGCGTTTCCGTTCGGGGGCACGCAGGGCTGCATTCCAAGCCGGCGGGGCGGGGCTCACCAGGACCAACCCGCCTTTACTGCAACTGTCGTGCCTGCCCGCCTCATCGTGCATCTGGGGTGCGCCGCGGCACGGCACTGCGCCGCTCGTTGCGCTCGGCATGGCGCGATAAGGGTGGCTTGCTGTTGCTCATCAGCTGCGTCGTGCTGGCCGCGCTGCTGTGCAGAGAGCGCGGCCAACGCGGCAGCCGAATGCGCTCCTCCGCCGCCAGCGACTGGGCTGTCTCGCAGAGGTCGTGTGCAGCGCGAACCTTCCACCGCCTCGCCATGTCACTCTCGGGGCTGCATGGGAACACCGGCGAGCTGGCGATCGTCTGCATGATGTACAAGTTGGGTTGATGCGTTCACGCAAGCCTTTTTGCGCGACTCTGCCTCCCGCGAGCGATAAAAGTCCCAAGGCACGCACGTGGCACGGCAGAAGGCGGGACCGATTTGCCACGTCCGCCCAAATGTACCGTAGCCATTTTGGCTCAAGGTGCGAGTCGCGGCGGTCGCCACGCCTTCGAATGCCCTCGCCGTTGCGCAGCCAAGTCCTCGCCCTATCTTTGACGTGCCGCTCTGCCTCCTCCAGGCCAGCTGGTCGACCCGACGTTCGCGCCAGGTCCATCGAGGTTTCGCCACGATGCCGCCCGTGGCAGCCTTGTGGCCGCCTCGTGCGCGGGGTGGTTCCAGCGAGGTTTCGCCATACTGCCCCCCCCCGCGGCCGCCTCGTGGCCGCCTCGTGCGCTTGGTGCGTGGCCGCCTCGTGCGCCTGGTGCGTGGCCGCCTCGTGCGCTGGGTGGGTCCAGCGAGGTTTCGTCACGTTGCCGCCCGCGGCCGCCTCGTGGCCGCCTCGTGCGCTGGGTCGGTCCGGCGGGGTTTCGCCACGTCGCCGCCCGTGGCCGCCTCGTGCGCTGTGTGGGACCCGCCGAGATTTCGCTACGTTGCCGCCCGTGGCCGCCTCGTGGCCACCTCGTGTGCTGGGTCCGGCGAGGTTCCGCCGCGTTGCCGCCCGTCCGCCCGCGGCCGACTCGTGGCCGCCTCATGGCTGCCTCTAGCTTGCACTCCGTATATTCTCCCTTCTAAAAACAAAATAGGATCTACCCCCCCCCCCCGGCGTTATCGCTACCCCTTTCGGGTAGGTAAATCATATATGATTCTGACCACAGTCCATCCTAAATTTGAATATGCACTATCCCCGGGGGGCCGGGTTCCCCCCCCCCTGAGGTTCCCTTGTAAAAAAAAACTATGCGGTGACATTTTTTCCTAATGTAAGACTTTTCACAAATCCCTTGCAAAAAATTGGACGAAGTGCACACGCGCGCGTCGTCGCGCGCGCATGCCGAAATCCTTCAAAAACTTTCGGTGCCGGAAGGATTTCGCAATCGAGTTTCCCAAGCACATACAAAAACACAGGGTTTCGCAACACTGATTTGCTAAAAAAGCTTCCGCGCGAGCTCTTGCGAAATCTTAAGAAAACCATAGGTTTTTCAAGATTTTCACAAAATGCTACCAAACGGGCTTCGCGCGCATGTCGAAATCTGTCGAACGCCCTTGCGCGTGTGCCGTCGCGAGAATCCTCGGCAAAAAATTGGACGAAGTGCAGACGCGCGCGTCGTCGCGCGCGTATGCCGGAATCCTTCAAAACCCATCGGTTTCGGAAGGATTTCAAAATCGTGTGTCCAAACAACCCACAAAAACACAAGGTTTCGCAACACGGATTTTCAACAAAAGCGAGCGCGCGCGCTCTTGCGTCGTCGTCGTCGTCGTCGTCGTCGCCGTCCTCCCTCCTCCCGCGTCGTCGTCGTCGTCGTCGTCGCCTACGTCGTCCTCTGTCTTTCCTCGTGTTCGTCGTCATCGTCCTCTTTGGCGTCGTGGTCGTTTCTGTAGTCGTTGTCGCCTTGGTCGTCCTTCCTCCTCCTCCCTCGTCGTCGTCCGTCGTCGGCGTCTCGTCGTCGTCCCTCCTATTTCGTCGCCGTCGTCGTCGTCGTCGTTGTCGTCGTCGTCTTCCCTCCTCCCTCGTCGTTGTCGTCGGCGTCGCCGTCCTTCCTCCTTCTTCGTCGTTCGCGTCGTCGCCGTCCTCCCTACTCCCTCGTCGTTGTCGTCGTTGTCGTCGTTGTCGCCGTCGTCGTCCTTCCTCCTCCCTCGTCGTTGTCTTCGTTGGCGTCGTCGTCATCGCCTTCGTCGTCGTCGGCGTCGGCGTCGGTGTCGTCGAAGTCGTCGGAGACGTCGTCGGTGTCGTCGTCGTCGTTGTCGTCGGTGTCGTCGTAGTCGGCCTTACGAGGTTTTGCAAACCAAGTTACGGGTGGGTGGGTGGGATGTTTGCGCGAGCAGTGGAGATGACGACTTCAAGTTCAGCAGAGTGGACTGCACCACATAACTTACACCACATATATTCCACCACATAATTCGCTTGCACATTCACACTGCAATATCTTGCTGTTTGGGGTCCATGCTGGCTACTACACCACTTTGTATTTATTGGCTTATTCATATGGGTATGTGCGCATACACATTTTTATGTGTATGCGTACGTACATGTATATGTGTGTGTGTACATGTATATGTATGTGTATTCGCATAGGTATATGTATATGTATATGTATATGTATATGTATATGCATATGTATATGTTTAGGTTTGTGTATATGTATATGTATATATATGTATATACATATGCATATGTATATGTATATGTATATATATATATATATGTATATGTATATGCATTTGCATCTATATATACCTATATATATATATATTTGCACTTTCCTATGCACATGACGATGTACATATGCGCATCTGTGAATTCGTATACGTATTTATATGTGTGCCTTGATCGATTACTCGGGCGTGTGTATGTGGGTACGCACATGCACATGCGCACGTATGCGTATACGTACTTGTTTATGCGTATGTATGGATACATGCATGTGCAATTGTAGGTACATGGGTGTATGTATTTTCAGATGCATGTGTTATTCACATATAGGGGTATGAACATGTATAAGTATACAGGTGTAGCTGAATGCATATGTCTATGCACATTGTATGGATATGTGTATGTATACATATTTGTATACCTGTTTGCCTATGTGTAAACATGTGTATATACACATGTGTACGCGTGCGCATCTGCATCTATAGTTATGTGCATGCATGTGCATATGCATATGTGTAGGTATCGGTACTTGTACAAGTATGTGTACGCATATAGAGCTGTCGATCTATATGTATATACATCCATGTACATGCTCATTTCATGTATATGGAACTCGTTCCCTTCCCCAGGCAGCGCTTTCACGTATCTGGTTCTTATGTGTGTCTCTTAAGTGATTGGACGGGCTCGCCGAGGATTTTCCACGTTGCCTTCTCGTGGGCGCTCGTGGGTGCCCCGTGCGCTGGGTGGGTCCGCTGAGGTTGCGCCGCGTTGCCGCCTCTGCCGCCTCGTGGGCGCTCGTGGGCTCTCCGTGCCCTGGGGGGGTCCGCAGAGGGTGCGCCCGCCGCGCTGCCGCCTCGCGGGCGCCCCGTGCGCTGGGTGGGTCCGCCGAGGTCGCGCCACGTTGCCGCCTGCGCCGCCTCGTGGGCGCTCGTGGGCGCCCCGTGCGCTGAGCTGCCACCGCGTAGCTTCAACGACATGGCTTGCGCGACGCGGTTTGCACCGCACAGTTTACACCGCACAGCTTGCAGTACATCTGTTCGCTGTACATGTTGCGCTGCACAGTTTCCCTTTAACCTCCAGTTCACGCACAGATTTCACGACATGGCTTGCACCACGTAGACATAGCACATACCCCATATTACACGACACAGCTTGCACCACATAGCTTGCATCGCATCGCTTTCGCCTCCAACGTGCAATGACTAGCTTCTTGGGATCCACGCTTGCTCATCTTCTGTTTCTTGCTAATGTGTGAGTTTTTTTCCGCTCTCTCTCTCTCTCCCCCTCTCCCTCTCGGAGGATCGTGGCTTTGTGAGCGTGGGCAACATGTGGTTTTACATGTCCCATGGTACGCGTAAGCTCTGAGAAGATGGTTCGTGGACGTCGTCGTATTTTCTGGCCCACAAGCGTCGCGAGCAATGCAATCTCACTAGCTGGTAGGCTGAGCAAACTATGTGTTGGTTGAGGCCTGTGTGAAAAGGTTTGTCACTGTGCTCGTTCTCTGCAACCAATGCAATGCTGCTGATTACCTCGGCGCATGAATGATAGCTGAGCTGCTCAGTTGCTGGAAGCTCGGCTTCGCAGCTTGCTCGCCAACGCAAAGGGGGTCCTCGGACACCAATCGGTTCAAAAGCATGATTGAACCGGTTCGTTGCCGCAAGTGCTAATCCGCTGCTGCTTTATGGGTCCAGGCGGAAATGCCACTTCGCTTCTGCAGTGAACAAACATCATTCGAAGGGGAGGGAGGCGGGCTCGTCGCAGTCCTTCCCGACCCTCTGAGGCCCGCACGGTAAACATGAGTATGCTTGGATGGTCGTTCGCAAGCTGTTCGTTTAAACGATGATGTGCCCACATGCATATTTTGTTTTTTTTGCCTTGGGCTCTGGGACGGATCATCCTGGTTCCATGTGGGGATTTTAGGAGCCTCTTGGCTTGGGTATGACGCCCAGAAGTATGTCAAGGTGCTGCTCTGTTTGAGCAGTTATGCAGAAGTCACAGTCGTCGGATCGCGAACGCTGTAGTAAGCTTGCGGTCCGTAACGATTTCGGTTCGAGGGGTGTCCCTTCAGAGCTTAGGATCCGAGTCTCCATTGCGCCACCCCCAACACGGTGACCTGGGGGGGTCAGGACCGCGAGCAGCAGTGGTGAAGGCAGTGAGAAGCGCTTGGCACACGTGAGCACGAAGGATTCGCAGCAGAAGGGGACCTCCGAGCTGGACCTGGGTTGGGCGCCGCGGACTGCTTGTCGATGGATGAACTCTCAGTTCGGGTGCAGAAAGACGCCCATGCAGGGGAGACTGATACTGATGCCGGCAGAATTTGGATACCGACCCAGTTGCGCTGCCGCGCACATTTGGGGTCCGCCACCGTGGTGTTGGCGTCTCTGCAAGGGCCCCCCTCCGAATCTTTCGCTTTTGGCACAGTTTTTCTTTGCCTAGATCGCCCAGTATCTGTGTAGGGACTTGGAACAAAGCATGAGCGCACGCTTGCCTCGATGCGGTACGTGTGTGTGTGTGTGTGTGTGTGTGTGTGTGTGTGTGTGTGTGTATGCTTACTGTCACTGTTTGACGCGCAAAAACTAAGAATTGAGAAGGAATCAAGATGTTCGCAATCCAACCGCGGCTCAGCGTGGTGGCGGATATTGCCGGTGCCGGTGCTGGGAGGAGACCGCCGACGCCGATGCCAGAAGGATTTTGTGAACGAAAGCCAGGCGGAGGAAACTGCTGAAGATGGGGAGCGCGACGGATATGCCTCTCCTGCGGACGCCGCTTCCCCTGACAGGAAGAGCGGTGCGTGCGCAGAGCGGTGTGAAGCCCAGTCTGGCGGCAGCCTGCCTCTGCAGGTGGAGCTGAGCATTCAGGAGGAGGGCGGGCTGCACTGGTTGGCCCGGCGGCTGGGGGACATGGCGTCGCTTCAGATACTGACGATCGAGTCGTGCGACGACCTAGAGATGCTGCCCGAGCGGCTGGCGGACCTGCGGTCTCTGCAGCAGCTGACGGTCTGGGACTGCGACCGCCTTCGGTCGCTTCCCGAGCGGCTGGGGGACCTGGCGTCGCTGCAGGATCTGAAGATTTGTGAGTGCGGCCAGCTTCAGCATCTGCCCGAACGGCTGGGGGACCTGGCGTCTTTGCAGCGACTGCTGATCGAGTCGTGCGACTGCCTCGCATTGCTGCCCGAGCGGCTGGGGGAGCTGACGTCGCTGCAGCAGCTCACGATTCAACAGGCTGACGCCACATCCCCCGACAGCTTGATTATTATCAGGCCGTTATGGTCCGCTGTGAAGCCCTGTTACTGGAGTGAACGTGAGGCAGGTGAAGGGGGGATGAGGAGGAGGTGGACGAGGGGAGACGAGGATGACGACAAGGACGAGGACGAGGATGACGAGGCGCGGTGGAGGAAGAGGGAGGAGGAACGCACGCCGGAGGATGAGGGGAGGAGGGAAGAGGCAGAGGAGAGCAGGGATGATGATGATGATGATGATGATGATGATGATGATAATGATGATGATGATGATGATGATGATGATGATGATGAGGATGATGAGTATGATGAGGATGGTGATGATGGCGACGATGATGCTGATGATGACGATGATGATGATGAGGAGGAGGACCAGATCAAACCCAGGAAACATCAACGTTGCTGCGATACACCCTCCCGTCCCAAGTCCCCTCCTCATAAGTCTCTCCCAGCCTTCATGTTCACTGCGAGAAGCAACCCCTTGCGCCTGTCATTCAAGCGTAAGCCCCGTTTTGAAAAGGAATTGCCTTGCGCATCCTTCTTGTGAACTATACGGAATGCGAAGGGGTAGGACCATGAAGTTGCATGAGGTGTCCAGCGGGAGCCCTGGTGTGAAAAGGAGCCGCCCCCCTCCGCGCGGAGTTGATCCACAATTTCGCACATTTGGTCGTCAACTTTGAGGGCATTTCTGTCGGGGGCCCCACTTTGAAGAGGAGCCGCCTCCCTCCCCGCAGGTGTTTTGCGACTCCAAGTGTCGGGCTGGCCAGATTTGGAGAGGTCTCAGGCGAGAGCCACAGCATCGAAATCAGGCGCTCTCCATCTCTGTAGTGGCTGCATGGTTTCTTGTGTGCATTCTGCGCGGCGCTAAGGCAGGACGGGGAGGAGGAGGAGTAGGAGGAGGAGCAGGAGCAGAAGCAGGAGGAGGAAGAGGAGGAGGAGGAGGAGTCCCACTTCGAAGAGGATCCCCGCAGCTGCTGCGGGCTTCCAAGACGAGCGTGCGCGGCGCGAAGGCGAGAGACCCGCTTCGATTTTTTCCCTACCTAGGCTCTGCCTAGAGGGTTCCTACTCGCTGGGCTTGAAGGGGCCGGGCAGTGTTCCTCGCCCCGGGCGGTTCCCCCAGTATCCGCCCCGCGGTTTCCCCATTTGCGCCCCCTTAGCTTAGCTTTGCTTATCTCATCTTAGCTCAGCCTGACTTAACTTAGCTTAGCTTAGCTAAGCTTAACTTAGCTTAGCCTTGCCTAGCTTAGCTTCGCTTCGCTTCGCTTAGCTCAGCTTAGCTTAGCTTAGCTTAGCTTAGCTTAGCCTAGCCTAGCCTAGCTTAGCTTAGCTTAACTTAGCGCAGCATGACTCAACTTAGCTTAGTTTAGCGCAGCATTAGCATATCACAGCATATCATAGCATAGCATATCATATCATATCATAGCATAGCATAGCGCAGCATATCATAGCGCAGCATAGCATAGCATAGCATAGCATAGCATAGCTTAGCAATGCACATCCATGCGTGTGTCTGTGTGTGTACGAAGGCAACGCAAACGCAAAACCAATCAACAACAAACACAATATCAACGCAACAGCAACAGCAACAGCAACAGCAAAAGCACATGCAAAGGCAAACGCAAAGGCAAGAGCAATAGCAAAGGCAATGCAAAGCACAAGCAAAACCCATGCGAAATTGTAGATGTATATTTAGATGTAGGTGTAGGTGTAGATGTGGATGTAGGTGTATATATACGTAGATGTACATGTAGGTGTAGATGTAGGTGTAGATGTAGATATATATGTGAGTGTAGTTGTATATTTAGATGTAGATGAAGATGCATGTGTACATGTA